GAAATGTTCCTAATGTATCACAGTGTGTATTTCAATGTGTAGTCCTTTGTTCTTTAAGGAGGGGAGTATAAAAACTGAAGTGTAATCACGCCCTCCTCGTTCCGAATTGCCTATCTCTAATATGCTCTGGACCTTGCGCAATTAAACTTCTCTGCTAACCCCTCCGGAATTCGTAAGAGTTCTTTCGTTTTCCACAAGAGTAAGGGAGATAGGGCGGTATATAAATTCAATAAATAGTAATAATAATAATTGCACAATACTAGTTTGTCTTTTCCTTCTTCAGGAGCAGTTGTTCACTTTCCCAATAAAGCTTACAGGACTGGGATATCCTGGCAGTCTCCCATCTAACCACTAACCAAGCCTGATCTTGGTTAGTTTCCAAGCCAGATGAAGTTAGCAAGTACTGCTGTTGGGGCCTGATGAGAGTAAATTGTAATTCTGTTTTAATGCAAGAAAACTTTTTCCCCACCCCCCGCCAAAAAAAGCCTCTAACAATAATGGGGGATCTGTCCTACCACATCCCTCAGATACATAAGATATATAAATCAGCAAAACAAGAAAATTTAGGTGTTTTAAATATGAAAATAAGAGAACTATTGAGAGCCAGTGTGGTGCAGTTGTTAAGCTGTTTGATTGGCATTGGGGAAATGCAGGCTCAAGTCCACCTGTGGCTTTGTAGGCCAATCATTTTCTGTTAACTTTCTCACTGGTAGTGTTGTGGTTGAGAAAAAATAGGAGGGAATGTTACGTCTTTCCCCACCTATATGAAAGGCAAGATATAATTCTGACAATAAATATTTGGAAACTGTCTTACCACACTGTTGAACTAATAGAAATGCAGTAAAGGGCTCTTACTCTGAGTTCTTAACAGCATCGTAGGAAATGGCAGATAATATCGCCTTCTGTGCTGCTGGCAAAATATAGCACTGTTGAAATGCTTCAGATGTAGGAGATGATGTCAGCTAATATACCATTTATGACATCACAAACACCCATTATGGACAAAGCATGATGCTTAAAAAGGTTATAAAGGTTATATGTGTCCACTCTGTCTTTTAAGCATTATTTTCAGTATACAACAGATTTAATTCTAGGCTACAATGATTTATTTCTGTAGCTTGTTTGTTATCTAAAAGGATAGTCTAAGACAGGGGTAGGCAACCTTGGCTTTTTTATGACTCGTGGACTTCAACTCCCAGAATTCCTGAGCCAGCCATGCTGAGGGGAAAGGAATTCTCGGAGTTGAAGTCCACGAGTCATAAAAGAGCCAAGTTTGCTTACCCCTGGTCTCAGAGTACAGTGCAAGAATTCTTTTTGTGTAACGAGTAAACATTTATTCATGTACGGAAATCCTATCTAATGTAAAAGATAAAGCCTTAGACACCCAAACTTAATTATATTTAACTTTAATTGATTTCAATGGCATAATAATAATTTATTAGATTTAGCATAGCTACCCACTCCAAAGGATTCTAGGTGGCTTTAATGTAAAATTAAAACAGTTAAAAACATTGCAACACAATGTTATTGCTACTATTATAATCAGCCAGATGTTTTTTAGACCGGATTTGGCATTGGTATCCACTTACAGAGTCCTTTCTAAGGAACAGGGATAGGCAGATGTTGTTATTTGATGGTCTTAAAGGTATCATCACAGGATGCAAGCTGTTCCAACTAAAGCTGTATTTTGCAATTGACTGATAGGGATTTTGTCTGTCCTAATTGTGTTCAAGTGGGGTTGAACACAATTAGGTGGTACCTACTACTGCTGGTACTATATTTGCTTTCTTTTGCCACAGTTCTACTTCTATTTGCTTGTCAAAGAGTAACTAATATCTATCTGTTCTGATTAGAATATAAATTTTCTGAGTTTTTCTTCACCCCCACAATATGTAATTTAGAATTTTAGAAAACTTACTTTTCAAAGGATAGGAAAGCCAGATGCTATAGACTGCAGCCCTGCACGTTCCTGTATTCCTGGCTGCCTTGGGTGTTCTCTGTCTAGTAATAACCTCAAACTTTGAACCCGATGCCAATGTGATTTTAGAAGGCTATAGAATTTGATAGGAGAGAACCAGTTAGGTGTAGTGGTTAATGTGCTGGCCTAGAAACCAGGAGATTCTGAGATATAGCCCTGCCCTAGGCACAAAACCAGCTGGGTGACTTTGGGCCAATCACTCTCTCAGCCCAACCCACCTAACAGGATTGTTGCTCTGGGGAAAATAGGAGGAAAATGGAATATTGATAAGTTTCCCACCTTAAGTTGTATACGAAAAAGGATACCCCCCCCCAAAATAGGTCATCCAGTATGCATCCATATCTTAATTAGTATTGCACATGCCACAAAATTCAGGTGAATGATGCTCCATATGCATTCCTTTTATACAGCATTTGTGAATAAATAGATCTGAGATACATAATCTTAAATATGTTTTTTTCCATTATATTTAACCTGGTAATACATTTTTTTTCTTCCTAGCTCTCTTTGTCCTACTATTTATGGTCATGAGGTAAGTATACTCTACTAGAAATATTCAATGATTTGTATTCCAAATGCTTAGTAGAAAATAAAATATATTATGGGCCTAGTTCAGTGATGGCAAACCTTTTAGAGACCGAGTGCCCAAAAACCGCCTCGCTCCTATCCCATCCCCGCGTCTCCTGCCCGCAGGGCCACCCACCACCTCCACAGCCCGCCACAGCAGATCGCCCAGGTGGCCCAGCAGTGTCATGGCGGCCACGCCCTCTGTCTTTGCCCTCTGTACGTGATGGGGCGCGAGGGTGGAGTCTTGTCCCCGCTGCCCGGCTGCCATGTCCTTGGCTGCGCTGTTTTGCATAGGCTGCGCCCGGGGAGACTCTCCTCTGGGGGGGCTGCTGGTGAGGAGGGGGCCACGGGGGTGGCGGGGCTGGGGCGACGGTGTGCATGCCCACAGAGAGGGCTCTGAGTGCCGCCTCTGGCACCCGTGCCATAGGTTCGCCACCACTGGCCTAGTTTATAAACTATATTTTAATGGTCTACAAAGAAAATGTGAATGAGATTATTGTTAGATTGGTATTTCCATTACTGTAATCCCTCTATTAGCATTATTAATATTATTTCATATATTATATCAGCATTAAAATGAGTTTTTTATTCCTCACTTAGATTTATGCCTGTTTTCAAGACCTTAATAAAACTATATAGAGAGGTACTGACAATATGCCTGACAGCTGCCTATAAAAGTGCACCATTATTTTATTAAAATGCTCCGTGAATTAAAAAATGCATAACAGTTACTAAGACTTGCATGGTAAAATAACGTCATTACTGTTCTTGCATTGTTGTGCTGTAAAAGATTTTGTAACAATTTTTAGAGGACTTTATTTGATGCTGCACTTCACAAGACTTTGAAAGAAATGAAACTAAGGGTTTTTTTTTCCTGAACCTTTGTTTCCATTTCATTTTTATTTCTACTTTTGAAGAGTTAGAAGCTTCTTACAAATATTGATAGAGACTATCTGGATCATGTACTACTTTGATTGAATTGTCCCTTGCAAAGATTTTATGGATTGCTATCTTGTGTCACAGATGGTAAAAGCTGGCTTAGTGTTGGCATTATTTGGAGGATGCCAAAAATATATGGATGATAAAAATAGGATTCCTATTCGAGGGGACCCACATATTCTCATGGTTGGAGATCCAGGACTGGGCAAAAGTCAGATGTTGCAAGTATGGATTCATCTGTTTATGCATGCAGCTTATTTTTCCTGCTTAAACTACCAAGTTGTTTTAAATAGTATTTTGTGGCACTGGCTATCCTGTTATTTCAGAATGTGTGTATATTGTTCCTTGGGTATTTTATTCTTTTTAATATAATTGGGTATGTTATCAATATGGGTAATTGATCCATAATATGCAAAGCTAACTTTTTCAATTTGTTTCTTCAGGCTGTGTGCAATATTGCACCTCGTGGAGTATATGTCTGTGGCAATGCCACTACCACATCTGGTCTGACTGTAACTCTGTGTCGAGACAGTTCCTCTGGAGATTTTGCACTGGAAGCTGGTGCTCTTATACTTGCAGATCAAGGTATAGTGCTCAAGTGTATTTATCTGGGCCAGAAAACTATGTAAACCTTGTAGATGGGCCCATTTATTATGGCATAAACTTTCCTTTTACTGGAAACTTGAGATGCAGTCTCAGCTGACGGGCATATACTTTTCAAACACTGGGAAACAGAGAATGGGAGGAGTCTGATGAGAGAGAAGTAAAATGTGTACACTGGTAGTGATGATTACATATAAAGCAAGAAGTACCTACATAGGCAGATACTTTGAGCTAAATTCCCCTCCCGTTCACGTTGGAGGTACCATTTAAGGCGCTTCTGGGTTGAAAACAGCTGGTGACATCACAGCTGTCCAGAAGATGCCTGTGGTGGCTCTTGTCCCTGGAATGGAGTGACGACAGCTCGGCCTGCTGTGCAGCCGCACTCGTCTTGAATGTGGGCTTGCTAACCTCCCACCCGGCATCCTAACCACACGAGCCAGGATGTTCCTGTGAGCTAAGCTGATTAAATATTTTACTTTATTTTGAGAATTCACCACTCCTTTCTAGCACTGAAGATTTACCTAGTCTGCCAATAAAACATCTTCAAGCAAACAACCGAGCTTAGAGAGCACCAAGGAGTCCACTGCTGAAATGATTGGTTGTTTTTTGAGTTTTCCATATCAGTTGCAAAAAAACTATTAAACAAAAGCACATGGCCTAACATGTGATGAGTTGCAATTCAAATATCCTGTCAGAAACTATTTTACGAGAATCGAGGAATTTATGTTATCTTGAGAAAAATACAAGCTCTAAATAAAGTATAGATCAAAATGTAACATAATAATATATAGAATAATTTATTAATAATAAGCATAATTTAGTAATTCCACGAACTTATTCGTTTGGTAGTATTCCTTAAATGCCTACCATGAAAGATTTTACGTTTTACTAAAAAGAGAATTCTCACATTTAAGTACTAAATTTTTCCCTGACTAAATTTCATTTTGAGCATGATGGATTTTATATCACCAGTTTTCTCAGTGTTGAACAATTGCCTTGCTTGCTTTGTAATTATTTTTCTTTTTAGGTATATGTGGAATTGATGAGTTTGATAAAATGGGGAGCCAGCACCAAGCTTTGCTGGAAGCTATGGAACAGCAAAGTATTAGTCTTGCTAAGGCTGGCATTGTTTGCAGCTTGCCAGCTAGGACATCAATTATAGCTGCAGCAAATCCAGTTGGGGGTCACTATAACAAGGCCAAAACTGTATCTGAGAATTTAAAGTAAGTACTGTATTTTCAAAATGTCTGCTTTATAGTTTTCAAGACAAAAAAGGATTTTTTTAATACCGTGTTTCCCTGAAAATAAGACCCACCCAGAAAATAAGCCTTTAGCCTGATATTCGGCATGCGCCTAATATAAGTCCTACCCCAAAAATAAACCCTAGTTAAGAGCCCGCCCACTGTGTCCCACTGTCTGGTTGCTCATTGCTGCATGAGAGTGCGCGTTGCACCAGTGCCGCCGCCACGAGTTGAGGCGAGGCAGGGGGTGGTGGAGCTGCCCCTCATGCCCTGCACCCGCTTACCTCTGGTCCCCCACAGCCAGGCCACTCCCTGCTTGGTGACCTCCCCCACCTCTTCCCTTTCTCTCTCCTCCAGAGCTGGACTGCCATGCTATGGAGGATGGGGGGGGGCTCGGTCGCCATACCTGGTCCCCCTCCACCATTTCAAAGCTGAGGGGGAGTGACAAGAAAAGGCTTTGCTGCTGTTGTGCAACAGCCATGTCCGCCACTGGAGGGGCTTGTTTCAGTCCTGGTTGCCCCTGCTTCGCCCGCAGATCACCTGCTCAATGACAGCCACTGCTTCCTCTGCCAACTCTCCTGTGGCTTGCGCCATGACTAGATAGCGCAAGCCTCCTGCCGCTTCCCTCCGCCTGCCAGACACCCACCAAAGCCGCCCGCCTGTTCCTTCCCACCGTCTGCTTGTCTGCGGCCGCAATGGCTTTCACGGCTTTCCAGGGCAGACTCTCAGGAGGCAAGGACAGTGCTGGCGCAACGCGCCTTCAGGTGAGGAGAGCAGCGCGGATAGGCGGGGGTAGCCGAAGGACTGAGTGGCATAGGCCCTGAGGTAAGCAGGTGCGTGGTATGCGTGGGGCAGCTCCACCCCCCACCTGCCTCGTGGCGGCTCTGGTGCGATGCACACTCTCCTGCCGTGCTATGGCTGTGAGCAACCAGATGGTGGGAATGGAGTGGCCGAGCGGCTGCAAAATCAGACGTCTCCCGAAAATAAGCCCTAGTGGGTCTTTTGGTCCAAAAACAAAAAAATAAGACTGGGTCTTATTTTTTGAGAAACACGGTAACATTGTGTGAATTTTGTGTAAATTCTGAAGCTGTATTCAGCTCTTTGAGGTAGAACTGTAGTACTGTACTGGATTTATTTTTTTCTATGTAGGATGGGAAGTGCTTTGTTATCCCGATTTGACTTAGTATTCATACTGTTGGACGTTCCAAATGAAGATCATGATCATTTGCTTTCTGAACATGTGATGGCAATGAGAAATGGAAAACAGACTGGATGCAGCAGTGCTATTGTGACTCGTGAGCATTCTCAGAATTCAAATATATCAGTCCTTGAAGTTTTTTCAGACAAACCATTAGCGGAGAGATTAAAGGTAAAATGTTTGTTCATGTTTTGACCTACTACTGTATATCTTATCATCAGGGAATGCTGATGATGTCTGGGGGAAAAAATGAAATATTTAGTACATTTGAGATAAACCGTTTTGAGATAAGTTGCTTTGTACATTTAATACATTTGAGATAAGTTGAGTACAGTTATGAACGATCAGAGGAATATGATACTCCTTTTTTGTTGCAGCATAGTTTGCAAACTTAACATTAGAGCTACAGAAGACTGAATTATTTCTTTCATCCTTTCTGTTCTTGAAGCTGCTGGCCTCATAGGGTAATCTAGAAAGTGTAAAAAAAATGTAAATGTTTAACTTCTGTGGTTAGAAAATCAGAATTCCGTAATATATGAAAATGATTTAATTTTCTGAGTTTATCTTCACCCCTCACAAAATATATACAGCTAGAAAACTTCTTTTTCAAAGGATAGGAAAGCCAGATGCCATATGGATTGCAGCCTTGCACAGTCTTAGATTTTTTGGCTGCTTGGGTTGTCCGTCTCTGGTATGGGAACAGTCTCCATACTCTGAACCCTCCTGAAATTTCTGTGTGATTTTAGAAGGCTACAGAATTAGATTTGAAAGATTCAGTTTGATGTGATTAAGATTCTGGTCTAGAAACAACCAGGAGACCTAATCCTGCCTTGGGGCTGAAAGTTGGCTGAGTGATTTGGGGCCAGTCAACCTTCTCAGGCCAAACCACCTCACAGGGTTATTGTTGTAGGGAAAATAGGAAGAAATAGTAGATATGTTCTCTGCCTTGAGTTACTTATAAAGTTACTTATTGCTTACTAATAAAGGTGGGATAAAAATCAAATGCACATATAAATAACAGTGGAGTCTTTGTAAAAGCAATTTTCCTTGAAGTTTTCAGTCAAGTGTTCAGTTTTTACTTGGAAGCAATAAGCTTTTGGGCAAAAACTCTGTGAGGGATAAAGAGATAACAGTTCCAGTGGACAAAGCACTGGGGAGGCAGATCTCAATTATTGCTTCATTTTTTGTACAGTATTTTAACATTCCAATGTGAGAATACATGTAACAAATATACAACAGCCTGTGTTGTGATGACTTTTTTGTGCTTCTGAGGCTGAGGTGGAAGGTTAACTTGTGTCATGTTGTTTTCTTTGAGGACTATTATAGCTCCTATCTGCTCATACCATTTATTTTTTTCCAGTTGAAATGGAATATTGTAATATCTAAATAGAATTTTTAACTGTTAGCTCATTCCAGGAGAAAACTGTGACCCAATTCCACATCAGTTGTTAAAGAAATATGTTGGCTATGCAAGGCAATATGTACATCCCAAACTAACTCCAGAAGCTGCTCAGATACTCCAGAAATTCTATCTTGAGCTCAGACAACAAAGTCAAAGAGCAGATACTACGCCCATCACAACACGACAGCTAGAATCATTGATCCGCCTTACTGAGGTACGGTTTCATTTTATAACAGTCACTAAGAATTTTATAGTAGGTGTATTTTGACAGCCCAAGGTACTGGATTTTTAAAAACGGAGACTATAATGCGGATTTTTTTTTCTTATGTTGACTTATAGCTGGTTTATTTTAAATTGCACATGTTGATGCTACCTGAGATTGAAAATGGATCAAATCTAAGTATTTTTTGTGACTTGAGGAAAACCAACATTTCTACCATTTTTTTATGGAAAAATTGTACCTACTATATATTCATAAACTGGCATTTGATCTATACGTATACACATGTATATACGATATACCGGTATATAGATATACACGCAGACACACACAGGCCTATATGTAAACATTGACTTGAAGGCACCAAAAAAAAATAGAAATAAAAATAAGGAGGGAATGGTCCAGATATCTTGGAGTAAGCTTTCCATAGGAGAGAAAGCATCACTAAATAGATTTGAGCCCGGAGGTCCCTGGAGGGGGCATTCTGTCTGCAGGAAAATGGTACTTCCCTCAGCAAATCTTACTGGTCAGACAGATTCAAAACATTTGCTGTGTAGCAGGAAAGCCAGTACAACAACATTGCTCTCAACTTGTCCTTCAAACCTAACATAAAAAGAGCACCTCACATCGCGTTATCTATGGAGCAGTACCAGTTGCATCCTGTAGTATCTTGTAGATGATAATTGTTGCTCCATCTTATTTACCTTGGAATTATAAATGATGTAACATCTGAAATACAGATAGGGACATCTCCAAGAAGAGAATTTTCTTCTTCCATGTATTAGTGATACAGTAGTGGCGAAAATTGTGGAAACCTTTTAGGAAAATTGTACAGTAGAAATGTCACCTTTGGTTAAGTTTCTACCAATTTTTCTTCTAATTTCTTTATAACTGTAGCCTTGTTCACTTAATAATACTATTTTACATCACTTTCTGGGCAACCAGTCAACTCTTTGCTCCATTACTTTAATTTTATTACGTTTCACAAGCTCACTAAATGAAAGAACACAAAAAAACCCAACCAACTTGATAGCGATCACATAACACACTGACAAATGTCCTCCTCTCAGCTTCAATACATGACATCAATAACTGAATCTTACTGTGATTTGATTGGCTCATTGCCAAAACAAGATGACACCTGATTGGCTCTCTAAACACTCATGCTCATTGGCTACAATCAGATGAAGGAAAGCTACCTGATATCAAACTAAGCAAGTTTGTGCTTCCTTTTTCTGGTTATTTGGCTATAACTTTTCATAGACTACAGTACAGATAATTGAACAAACTATGTTGCATTACATTCTAGATTAAGTTATCTTTCCATTGATATATAATTTTATGGTACTACTCCCAAAAAAGTGTTATTAGCCATCAAACCTCAAAAATACACTTTTCCCAAAAGGTTTCCACAATTGGCCACTACTATATATGCCAAATAGTCTGCCCTTTCATCCAAGATCAAGTCATGGATGAGAATTTATTAAAGGCAGAGCGGTATATAAATAATACTATTTATTCTAATTGGCAAGCTTAGGTCAACTATGTATGGTCCTTTGAACCAGGGGATTAAAACTGAGACTATTACAGTATACGCAGAACATCTGTTTTGCTGCTAAACTATGGTTTCTCTCATACATCTTTTTTAATTAATTGAAGTTTTAGTGGGAATGGCATATTAATTGTATTTATTTTAATGTTTTTAGTAATAAAAATCTTTATTTGCAATTCACCAGTTTGTGTTGGTGCTGACACATTTTTTAAAAACCAATTTTTCCCTCCCACAAAATTCAGCAACCTTATGAGAACAACACAGTAATCAAATTGAAGAATGTAACTTTTTTTTTCAGGTCTAGTGCAAGTTTCTTTCACAATCGGGATGCTCAGTCATGGGACTTGGCTTGACATAGAACGTGAACTCAACCATTATGATTTGTAAAACATACTTTATGGCTGAGTATTGTGTGTCAGCCCAGCTAAGCAAACTGTGGCCTATTCAGTGAACTATTTTTAATATGAATGTGATTCTAACCATGCCATTTCTAATCCAATTAAATACGGGAGATTTGTATATAATATTAGCATTACTCCTTTTCTTTAAGGCACGATCGAGATTAGAGTTAAGAGAAAAGGCCACCAAAGAAGATGCCGAGGATGTTGTTGAAATAATGAAATACAGGTAGTATACAAATCTATGAGCTTGCAACATGCAAACTGAACAATATGCAAACTGATGCATTTTTCAGCAAATATAAATCAAAATATTTTGAAAAATAATCCAAAGTACAGTAACATGCATTCAATAAACCAAGCACAACCTGAGTAGAATTATAAAGTAAATGTGTTTCTTTTATTAAGCTCAGTAAACCTTTCTGATTAAGGAAAAATTCAAAGACAGTTCTCTGCCTCATTTGCAATTGTATTTTTAATTTTACTTTCTTGCTGACGGCGTACATTTTGGTTCACTCTTTTCTCAAGTATGTTAGGAACGTACTCTGATGAATTTGGGAAATTGGATTTTGAGCGTTCTCAACATGGTTCTGGAATGAGCAATAGGTCACAAGCAAAGAAATTTATTTCTGCCCTCCATCGTGTTGCAGAAAGAACTTATAACAACATTTTTGAGCTTCATCAACTCCGGCAGGTTGCTAATGAATTAAATATGAAAGTAAGTTAAAATAAATATGTACTCTAAAAGGATGAAATTAGCTATTGATTTATCAGGTATTGATGCTATCAGCTGGAAGAGAGGGTTATTGTTGCTTCCAGTATCTCTGGTTCTATTGATTGAAGGGACCCTGGAGCTCCAGCTTTACTTTAGGAATGATATTTGAGTTTGATATTATTGATAATATAACTTGCACATAACAAAAAAAATCTTGCTTAGGAATTTTTATTGTTGGATGGTGGTAATGTTTAGGCTTATTTTAACCGAAAATCCTTTAAAGTTGTATTCTTTCTGCAATATTTTACTATGTGAACACAACTGCCCAATTTTCAGTAAGAAAAAATCTATTTTGCTACATTTTAACTCAAGATATCTATTAAGCTTTTTGCCTTTCAAAGTTTAACATTTAAAATAATCAATTGAAAAAATGAAATAGATTAAATATGACTAGAATACATTAAGAAGGCTGGTTTAATGTAGTGGTTTAAGCACTAGGCTAGAAACCAAGAGAATGGGATTTCTAGTCCTGCCTTAGGCACTAAGCCAGCTGAGTGGTCTTTGCCCAGTCCCTCCCGCTCAGCCTTAGGAAGCAGGCCATGGCAAACCATTTCTGAAATCTTGCCAAGATAACTGCAGAAATTCCTGGCAGTTGACAGGAGTTACATTGACTCTAAGGTACCAGATAAACAAACCATTGCCTTATGGCATTGTTTCTTAAGTGGGGGTTCCTCAAGACTCTTTCAGAGGTCCACAAAATCAATTTTCAGTGCCTATGTTGAAAAATTATACAATATGAAATCCCATCAAACAATTATGAGAAGTAGCAACAGTAGTGAGTGCATCAATGTTAATTCTTTTATATCACAAATATCAATAAAATATAACCCATACAAACACAATCTCTTTTGGGGTCCTCTATAAATATTTTTAAAAATGAGAAGGAGTCCTGAGAGGAAAAAGTTTAAGAAACATCCACTTAAGGGATGCATTGGCTATATTATCTATCTATCTATCTATCTATCTATCTATCTATCTATCTATCTATCTATCTATCTATCTATCTATCTATCTATCTATCTATCTATCTATCTATCTATCTATCTATCTATCTATCTATCTATCTATCTATCTATCTATCTATCTATCTATCTATCTATCTATCTATCTATCTATCTATCTTTGCTTCCTAGATCAGGGCTTTTCAACCTTTTCACCCATTGTACCACTTTTAGAATATGGCAATATCTGAGTACCACCAGTCGTCTAGCAAGGTGTCAAAAACCTGATGACCAAAAAAAAAAAGGAAAAAAGTGATAAAGTACAGGTAGTCCTCGACACTAAGTTTGCTTAGTGACTGTTTGAAGTTACAATGGCACTGAAAAAAGTGCCCCACAAGCCATAGCTGAGCAAGACACCTGCCTGCCCACCCGGCGGCGCTCTTCCTCCTGTCCGAAGTTTTCATTGTTATGAGCATTTCTGTTGAAGATTGGCAGCGGTGGGGGGGTGTTTGGTTTTTATTTCCCCCGTCTGCTGGGTGGTTGCAGCAGGGTTTGGTCACTTCACATGACCCTGGGACACTGTGACCATCATAAATATGAATCAGTTGCCAAGCATCTGAATGTAAATCACAAGACCCGGGAGATGCTGCAACATTCCAGCTGATCGGCACTTCTTCAGGGCTCAGAAGCGCCAGGATCAGTGCCAAGCTGACAGTCCCGAAGAAGCACTGATCCTGGCGATTCTGCTGAGCCCTGACAGCCCTGCAGCTCCAGCCTTCTCTCGCTCAGGCTTGTGCGATGCTGCCACCGGTTCAACTCATTCCCCTCCCCTGCTACCACTTTTCTAGGATGGTCACGTACCACCTGCCAGGTGCCAATGTACCACAGGTGGTACACGTACCACTGGTTGAAAAGCCCTGTCCTAGATGATTTAAATGGAAAGTTTCCACATCATTTTAAAGTTCCTCTCCAGTTAAAAAAAAAATGGAAAGACTTTTAAAAGATTCTTTCCAACACAACTTAATATTTTGTATTTGGTCTTGATCACACAACTATTGCTTTTTTTTTTTTTAGATACTTGACTTTGAAAACTTCATTGCATCTTTAAATGATCAGGGTTATTTCTTGAAGAAAGGTCCAAGATTATATCAGCTTCAAACAATGTGAAGTAGTTCAATACCTAAAGAGAAGCCATACTGTTCACTAAGAAGAAGAAAAGAACATAAAGGACTGCAACTCATTCGTGTTTTTTATTTAGCTGAATTCTTGCCTGCTAACAAGAAAGTTTGTAGAATTCAGGCATTGGTTAAAACAATCTGAAACGAGATTAATGTAAATGTGATAAGGGCAGAGGAAGCTGAGTTCCTTCCTCCTCTCTCCTTGACATCCCTGAAAAAGGTTTATGAGAATCTGATAACCCAGCTTGATGGTATGTGTTGTGATGCAAAGAACATGGAAAATATCTCAAATTCTGGATGAGGAAAGTTGAAAGGGCTTTATTTAACTAGGTATTGACATGAAGCAACTCATTTACTAATTATAATACTTTTGAAAGCTATATACAGTGATGTTTCAAACCATTCTTGTTAAAGTTTTGCCTAGGCATAACAAATGATTTGACCAATTTTGTTAACCCTATTATTTTTGTTCATATTAATGTATGAATATGGTGTATATTTTTAAGTCAAACTACACTTGCATTTATTTAGTGTTCTGTGAATGAGCAAAGTTCATGTTCTAAATATTATACAATTAAAAGAATACATTGTTGGATTATTTAAAACACCTAGTTTGGTAATTCTCAATTTGACAAAAAGTCGAGTTTGTACAGTACTCAAGATTCACGTCAATAAATATAAAATTCCATCCATGAACAAAAAGGGAAGGTTTTCTACGTAGATAGCCATTTTTGTTTATTATCTTAGTGGAATGAAAGAGAAAGGATGCATTGTCTTATTGGGATAAGGTACGGACAAATTTCGATTGCTTTTTCCCCCCAATGAAAAATAACGATGACATTATCTGCCACTGGTGTAATATATGTATGATTTGAAATTACAGTATCAGTTGATTTCATTTATTTATTTTTATTTAGCAAAGTTCTACACTGCCTATCTCGCCTAAGCAACTCTGGGCAGTTTACAAACAACATGATATAGAAAATGACCTAAAGACACAGTTACAAACAGTTAAAAAAACAAGGTTAAAATGTATAAGTTCAAAGTAAAAAATCAAAGTTAAAAAGTTAACAGAGCTAAAAGGTGAGCAAGGTGAAGGGAGCACTCTCAAGCCATTTCCAGGGTTGCATAACACTCTTAGAACCCCCTCGTGCTAATTGGTAGCCAGGTCTTCGCACCCTTCTGAAAGGCCAGAAGAATTGGCTTGCCTCACCTTTGGAGGTAAAAGGTTCCAAAGGGTAGGGGCAATTGCAGAGAAGGCCCTCTTCCTAGATCTCGCTGGTTGAAATTCTTTAACCAATGGGATCTGCAGCCTGCCTTCCCTGCCTTATTGGGGGGGGGGGGGAAACAGATTGATGGTTTGTCAGGTAACTGGTTCCATGCCAGGAAGGACTTTAAAAGGGATAACCAACACCTTAAATTGGACCTGAAAGCAAACTGGCTCCACTGCAGCTTGCCTAGCAGAGGTGTTACTTGCGCTACCCTAGGGGTGTCCGAAACCGCTCCATATTTGGACATCCTTCCAGTCAGTACATTTGAACACACCCTTTGGCAGAGGTAAGTGATTTGAAATAGATAAGATTTGGCTAAAAATCTTTTAATTGCTTTGGGAATGTTTTCCACTCTTCATTGCAAAACTCTTGTAGTGCAAAATATTCTTAGGTCTTAGATACAGTATTGTCCATCTAGATCAGTGGTGGCGAACCTATGGCACGGGTGCCAGAGGCGGCACTCAGAGCCCTTTCTGTGGGCACACGTGCCGTCGCCCGAGTCCTAGGCCTTCAGCTGGGTTTTATAAAGCATTTTCACTTTAGGTCTCTGCCACTGTGTGCAAAAAAAAAAAAAAGGTTCAATCAATCAATTTCAACTTCTTGGGGGAAAAAAAAATCTTGCAAAGTTGGAATTGATTGATTGAACTTTTTAGTCTCACCCAGTCTGCCGTTACCACCGCAGCCACGCCCAGCCAATGGGCCACGCCCAGCCAATGGGCCACGCCCACCCGGCACCCGACGATGCATAAGTGGATTTGGGGTTGCAGTTTGGGCACTCGGTCTCTAAAAGGTTCGCCATCACTGATCTAGATCTTTCCACAAATTTTCAATAGTCAACCCTGAAGACTAAATAGTCTTTCAAACATTTTCTTTCATGTTGATGGTTGATTTGGTTACATTTTGGACATATTTCTTGCCGAAATATTCAACGCCTTCTCAATTTCAATTTCTTTACTATTTTCCATTTGAGGCTGATGGGAAAAGAAATTCAAAATAGCTGGATAGTGTCAGATCACCTTCCCCTAATCAAAAAGTTTTTATTATTAAGGTTTTTTTGCAAGACAATGGAAAACAATATATTTAGCTGGCTTCATCTTCGTGATTTCTTGCCTAGGGCTACCAAAACCAGGCTTCAAACATCAGGACACCAACCGGACGGCAACAAAAATAATAATATACATTGCTGCCTAGTGGTTGTCTGGATTGTTGCAACCTACTGTAGATACAATAGCTCTACTCTTGGTTCTGTACAACTGGCTGCCATGAGTTCTATTCCACAGCTCTAGTAATTACCACCAATACATTAGTGAGAAGTTTCACTGGTCATTTACAAATATTAATGTGTACTCCACTAACAATTTACAACAGATAGCTGATTTTAAGGTAAACAATACAAGTATTGATATTCTGAATAAAGTTTACATATTCTTAAAAAAAGGCAACTGGTTCATTGGTAATTTTTAGTGCACATTATTTTTAAGGTAATAGATCTGAAGTCCAACCTTTTCGAGTAGCAAGTAGTAACACTGAGTCAACTTTGGCCATACTAAGGACTCTGGAATGGGATACCAACAAGAAATCCCAGCGCTAGGTCAGACAATATAGTTGGAGAAATATCTGGGAAGAAGGGACTGGCAAACCAGGTACTGAGATGGACTTGTCTTTTTTTTCCTACCTTCACCTTTTGGGAAAATGAGTGCTCTAGCGGGCAGAGCATTGATACAGAATGGCATATAAGTGTGCCATGTACACGGGCAGAGAATTTCTTTTTTAGATTTTGGAGGGCTTCTGAAAGATCAATATTAAAAAATGTAAAACCCTAAGAAATGAGGCCATTGAATTTTGGTAATGTGATTGTTTGAGGGCTACAAAACTGGTATTCTATCCTAGCTTTACATACAGTAGTGGCCAAAATTGTGGAAAGCTTTTGGGAAAAGTGTATTTTTGAGGTTTGATGGCTAATAACACCACTTTTTTTTGGAGTAGTACCATAAAATTATATATCAATGGAAAGATAATTTAATCAAGAATGTAATGCAACATAGTTTGTTCAATTATCTGTACTGTAACCAGAAAATAACCAGAAAAAGGAAACACAACTTGTTTAGGTTGATATCAGGTAGCTTTCCTTCATCTGATTGTAGCCAATGAGCATGAGTGTTTAGAGAGCCAAACAAGTGTCATCTTGTTTTGGCAATGAGCCAATCAGATCACAGTAGGATTCAGTTATTGATGTTATGTATTGAAGCTGAGAGGACATTTTTCAGTGTGTTATGTGATCAGTATCAAGATGGTTGTTTTTTTTCTCTTTCATTTAGTGAGCTTGTAAAACGTAATAAAATTAAAGTAACGGTGCAAAGAGTTGACTGGTTGCCCAGAAAGCGATGTAAAATAGTATTATTAAGTGAACAAGGCTACAGTTATAAAGAAATTAGAAGAAAAATTGGTGGAAACTTAATCAAAGGTGGCATTTCTACTGTACACTTTTCCCAAAAGGTTTCCACAATTTTGCCCACTACTGTAGCTCCAAGATTGCCGCTACGCAACACTGCTACATATTTTGCAGTAGTCCAGATTCTACCTTATATATATAATTGTGGAAAAGGAATTGAGAAAATACTAAGTTATCTGTTTTGGACCTCTGTCAATTTATTTGATCTATACTTGGCTATTTTTCTACCAGCTCTTAAAAAACAATTACCTAAATTAAACATACCCCAGGGAGAATAGTAATTTAATTTGTGGTTTTGTTTTTTCCCTAGTGCCAATCTTTAGATACAAAATGGATCTTTCCTACTGATACTGTGCTGATAGTAGGTATTTTAAAACAAGACGCCCTTTCCACCCACCCACCCACTTTTTCAGCCGTCATCATCTGGCTTACATGCTGCCTGCATCTTCTCCATGCAATAGAATTTTAATTCAGATTGCATTCGTGCAGTTTTATTATGTCCCTTTGGGTCCAACTCGATGTCCATCAACTTTATGAAGCACCTACGCTAGTATATTCAGCACAGTTGCCTTGGCTTCGATGTTGGTTTTAGCCTACAGCCCCAGGATTTTTTTTAGCGGTCTCCCCTAAAAATTAGTTAATCGAGCCTGATCCTTAAGTTTTTGGAGACCAGCTATGGCTGTCCCGGTTTCTTGACATGCTGTGCTTGCAAAGGGGCTGTTCTACTTCCAAATTATTTTATTTTCTGTGCCTTCAAGTCAGTTTTTGACTCCTGGCGATGGCCTGAACTAATTTCTGCAGGATTTTTTTGGCAAGATTTCCCACCGGCCCAAAGTCACCCAGCTGACATTGTGCCTAAAACTCACGTTTGTGCCTGTAACTCACGTCTCTCGGTTTCTAGCCTGGGGTTTTTAACCAGTACATCAAATTGGTACACCAAACTGGTTCTCGGTTATAATTACAATCATATTATAATTATAATAATTATAATGTGGTTTGTTTTTTTTTAAAAAAAGAGCCTTCTAGTTTGAACTTTCACTTCTATACTAAACGCACTATGGGTAGAAATTCCAGGTACTCAGATAAGAGATTATTACTGCACACCCCGCAGGAATCATCATTCGATCCTCGCCAGCAGCGCTGCCTGTTCCTTTAATAAGCGGGGTGCCTCTTGCCGTAAAGAGCAGCGGAGGCGTCGTAAAAACCGCGTCCCGGCTGGACCGTAAGGTAGAAGGTGCGGAAGCGCGGTTGAATGGAAGAGGGGGACGGCCAGCGGCGGGGGGAGAGCAGGAGGGGAGGGGCATGTTTCAATTCTGCCCCTCCTCCTCCTCTTCGTTGGTAGAAAGGTCTCTTCCCTCCCCCCCCACCCCCAGCCCCAACCAAGCCATGCTGACCGCGGCTTGGTTGGTCAAAGGCAGCGCTTGGGGGTGGGGCCTTCTGCGGAGCGCGAGCCCGGGACGGTGTTTGGGGGCCACCGTAGCAGCCGCCGCCGCGAGGAGCCGAAGAGGTGGCGAGCGCTGGAGCGGCCCTCCAGCTAGGCTCGCGGCCTCCTCGAGCAGCCTCGCGGAATGCCACCCCACGTCTTCCCCGGGCACGGGGCGACGTCTGCTACTGCGCGTGCGCCCTCCCAGCCCCAAGCATCTAGGCACTGCGTCTTGGGCGCCCCCTTTCGGTTGCTCCTCCGGCGGACCTGGGCAGCCTCACTGCTCGCGCGCCGGCTGCGAGGACGCCACCCGGCGCGCGGCGGAGTCCTCGGAACGACCCGATGCTGGAAAAACAGAGCGCCGCGGATACGCTGAACTGGTAGGGGCGGGCAGGGGCAGGCGGTTCCTTCCCCCTTGGTCGACATAAGTCCAGGCTGTAAGGCTTTAGGTAGCGCCTCCGTAAAATACTTCTTAAAAAGTTCTGCGACGTAGAAAGCTAGCCTTGGCTGCCACGTGCGCGTGTAAATAAGCCTGAGCGACTATTTGCAGTCCAAAGCGATGCCTCCTGGAAACAGTACTACAATGGTTTCATGAAAAGTAAACTCGCCTTTTACGTGTCATCCCTAAAGAAGGAAAGTGATTTTTCTCCTTAGGGAGGATGTCTCCTGGCCCTTTGATGTGCACATTTTAACTACAGGTAGTCCTCGACTTCCAACAATTGGTTGAGTGACCGAAGTTACAAGGGCACTGGAAAAAAGTGACTTAGGACCATTTTTCACACTTATGACTGTTGCAGCATCCTCATGGTCACGGGATTTACATTTGGATGCTTAACAACTGACTTACTTGAGGGTTGCAGTGTTCTGGGCTCATGTGACCATCTTTTACGAGCTGACAAGGAAAGTCAGTGGGGAAGCCAGATTCATTTAACAGCCACGTTACTAATTTAACAACTGCAGTGATTCACTTAACAAATGTGGCAAGAAAAGTCGTAAAATGGGACAAAACTCACTTAACAGATGTCTCGCTTAGCAACATAAATTCTGGGCTCAGTTGTGGTTGTAAGTTGAGGACTACCTGTACTTCCAACACTTACCAGGTTTGTGGTTGCGCTGGTGTGTGAAATTGTTCTCGTGGTTTTGCTGCATTTGCTGCATTTAATTACCATGCTGAAAAAAACAATACTATATACATCCACATGACTCTGGTTTTCTGGGTATGACTTGATGCTTGACTTTGGGAGATGTGGGACTGCTAAGAACTTCTATTAACACATATGTTGCAATTTTTCTAGCTTCAGAAATAGCATGTAAGACCAGTATGTGTTCATTTCAAATTATTATTGCAACTTTTTTTGTACCAAAAGCGTTTTTTGAAAAGGCAACTGGACTTTCTTGGTTTTTTTTTTCTTTTCAAGGAAAAAAACCCCCAAAGTCTAGTTGCATTTTGGAAAAGCACTTTAAGACAACCAAGACCTGGATGATTGTGAATCTCCATAGACAACTTTTTTTTGTAGTTATGAAAATCAGTTGGTTCCAATGAGAGCTTGTTGTTTCAAACAGCTGGATATATTGACAGACATATTGTGCTTTGGTGAATATAGTATGTTTTTACTAAGCAGATAAAATCTGCAGTCACCAGTTAATGATGAATTTTAGCAAGGGAACCCTCTGAAATTCAGGATTGCCTTCTCTGGGGGACAAAACATGTACTCGTCCAAGGTTAACAGTTATTTGCAATTATTACATGGACTGACATCAAAAGAAATATATTTTTTTTTCAATAGGTTATTTTGGGATAGCTACTGTAGTACTGTAGAAAGAAATAGTCCATTAGATTGAAAGAGTTGATATGAGAGTCAGTGTTTCTGTTATATGTTGGACTTGCTGGCTAAAGTTTGTATAAATGTGAGCTTCATAACTATTTGATACAATTTGCTTTTCAGTACTCTGCTGGCATCTTATATGATTATCCTTATAAATGGCAACTTATTTTCTACCCTCTTTATTATATTAGCATACCATTTGAATATATGTTCTGCCAGCAACGTACTAAGAATGGCTAAATATGCATAGGATATGATATTGTGTAACATTCTTAGATATATTAATGAATATATTACTGGAAATGAAGCATATAAGATCTAGCATTCCATAAGAAAATCTTACTTTTTGTTTTTAATCATAAATATCCAATGTCTGATGACTCAAAGGCTTTTGTGCATGTGAGAACCATATTTCAAACGTTGGTGGGATGACTTTTAAACTTTATTTTATATGTAAAATCTTTATTTAATATGTAAAATCATTATTTAATATGTTAAATCATTATTATTTTTGAGGAACTTTAATACAATTTTTAAAATAAAATACACACACACAAAAACACATATTCATTCATTTATTTATTCATTCATTCATTCATCCATCCATCCATTTATAACCCTAAGATTTTTATGACCAGCTGGCTGAGGAATTCTGGGAGTTGAAGTCCACAAGTCATAAAAGGGCCAGGTTTGAAGACCCCTAATGTAAGAGGTTTAATGTCAACAAGGAACTGAAGTTTTGCAGCTTACAGTTTGTTTGAAAGACAGTAATTCCTAAGGAGTTTAGCTTATATATGCCTGAGGAAGATCCCTACATCCTTCTGTCAATTGTTGAGTGAGTTGCTAAAAATGGAACTCAGGAGAATTTGTTCGAAGTTCAAATTTGTTCAAAGCTTGTTTAAAGTTTGATTGAAAAGGGACCGATAGGGAAGAAGCTCCTTTATATAGTGTCTTGAAAAACCCTGAATATTTAAATGTCTAAAATGGGACCTGGTTATTTCAGGAGAATTTCAGGAAATTTTATGTGGCTTTGGTACTTGTTAAAGAAATGTAGGGGTGTCAAACTGCCGGCCCCGTGGGCTGGTTTCATCATACCGAAGCCACGCCCACCCCATTGCCGGCAATGCAAAAAGAGTCATGAAACGTTGCGAGTTTGACACCCGTGGATTAGAAGGAGCCAAGATATATAACCTGGAGGAAATAATAGAATTTGGCTCAATTTTATTTTCTGTTTCTCTTTGAGCTAAAGATGAAAGAAAGATAGCAGCCAAATGCAATAATGGGATCAGAGAGGAGTTGCCTTCAAAAATATGGCAGGTTTGAGATAAATCCTTCGGTGCTGGATACAAACAGTGAAGTACCATTTGTGGTGAAAAGTCAAAAAACCCACAAAACTTTCAGGGAAAGGATGTTATAATTGTTGGGAAAATGGTCGCATGAAAACTGTTGTTTCAAGAAATCAGTGACTGATAAAAAAGAAATACTGCAAATAATTAGTCACAAAAATGTTCAATGAAGAGGTGGTACCATTGTGGATTCTTTTTTTTTATCACAATTGAGTTGAGTTATATGACAAGATAGCTTGTGATTGTTGGTAACCTAAAAATTTAGGACTGGTGGACATAAGTGTCTTCTTATCTACAGTATCATAAGCTCAGAATTGATGTGGGTGGAGGAAACATGGTCTCTAGCCAATATGTTAAAAGCAGAAGGTTAGGAAGCCAAGATCCTTTTAGATTACTAACCACAAAAGAATCTCACTGGAATAGACATGAGAAGGGGTTTTTTTTTTTTGGGAAGTAGACATATCCATCCCAAGGAGATCCCTGTCCTGCTTTGTTCTGAACATTTTTCAGAGGAGTTGATATCTGTGTAGCTGTTTCCTTTTAATAATCTGATAATCAGTTCATTTGCTGTTCAGAAGAAGAATTTTTACCTTGATGTAAGAATCCCCAAAAGATTTGCAACAATTCAAAAACAAATCAACCCTTTTCATTTGGTCGGTGTCATGGCCCATTTTTGTTGCTTATAGAGTGGAAGTTGGTCCCTGCAGCGCTTGAATAGGAGAGATAGGAATAGCTGGTTATCCAGAAACGGAGCCTTCTTTTTGGAAGTTAGTAGTTAAGAAAATTCTTAGAAAAGATACATACATTCCAATGCAGCAATTAAACACATCAAACATGCAGAATTTGCCTCTTACCTTCCATAATATCAAAGTACATTATATTCAGATTATTTATATTTGTTTTGTAATATATTTTTTCTATGCTTTTTTTGTTGTTGTTCTAGTATGAAAACCCTTGGACTATCCCTAATCTACTTTCAGTGGCAAGGATTGGTTTGGCCCCTATTTTGGGCTATTTGATTATTGAAGAAGATTTTAATATAGCACTGGGGGTGTTTGCCCTGGCTGGAATAACAGATCTGGTAAGTCCTTTATATATTTTACAATGTTTTATGGAAACGAGACTTTTTTTTTCTTTAAAAGTGAGTTCAGAAATATTTTCAAATTCAGATCTGTAGTGCTTGAATATGATTTTATAATTAGCTAGTGCTACGTGTATTATCAGGAGCTCTTGGAGAAAAAAAAGATGGGATATAAATCTGACAGAAATGTAAATGTTTGGTTTCTTTCCCATGCTGTTTGTCTAACTTGCATTTTCAGTTGGACGGCTTTATTGCACGAAACTGGGCCAATCAGAAATCTGCCTTGGGAAGTGCCTTGGACCCTCTGGCTGATAAAATCCTTATCAGTATCCTATATATTAGCCTGACTTGTGCAAATCTTATTCCAGGTAAGCAAAGAAACTGTCTTTTAAATGATTCTTCTTGTTGAATGATCTAGAAATAATGAATTGTTAAATATTAGAAGCAAATCTCTTTCAGTTTATTGGCACAGTTCAATACCTCAGTATGTTGATACCATAGTATTCAACCTTCATATAATAGTCTAAACCAGGGGTCTTCAAACTTGGCCCTTTTATGACTTGCGGGTTTCAACTCCCAGAATTCCTCAGCCAGCGTGCCTAGCTGAGGAATTCTGGGAGTTGAAGTCCACAAGTCATAAAAGGGCCAAGTTTGAAGACCCCTGGTCTAAACAAATCCAATGGAAAAAATGCAATACATAGGGAGTACCAACAATCAGGCCCCATGGGCCAATTTTATTAAAAAAAATTGAGACAAAATGTTACCATATTTAGTGATGCTCAAAAATAATGTATAAAATGAGTAAGGAAGCATTTGAAAAAAAATGGCATCCAATTAGAACATTTCATGTAATATACGTTGTATAGTTAATGAATTATAGGGCTTTATTTCTGATATATCCTGTATGTCCATGTTGTTCATTGAAGTAATTTTCCTGATTTCATTTTATTATCTAAAATAAATTGCTGAAGTTTAAATAATGTTGTAATTCTAAAGTGGTGGTTGATACAGTCAGAAGAGATTATATAGCATTTTCATCTGCATTACATTGTGATTTATTTTGAGCTATATGTTCTCCTTTGAAGGCAGATTAAGGTTAGAAAAACGATAGATAGCAAACAGTAATAGATCTTGTGTATTTTGTTCCCTTTTACCCAGGTTTAGGTTAGGGAAAGAGAAGAGGCAGCCAAGTGCTGTAGATGTATGCTGCTTTTGCCCAGGCCAGAAACTAAATGCATTGTTCAGTTACAGCAACCACTGTAATTTATCTGTGTTGTGTTTGTGGTAATGAGTTGGTAGACCAGAGGTCCCCAACCTTTTGGGCACCAGGGACCGGTTATGTGGAGAGAGGTTTTTCCACGGACCGGAAAGGGCATGGTTTCATGTACTCCCTGCATCCCGCAGATGGGGCTTTGCTTGTTTGCGTGGACTGGTTGCTGTCATGCTGCGTCCTGATACTGGTCCACAGACCAGGGGTTGGGGACCCCTGAGGTAGACAATAGAATTAAATAACACTGATTTAGACTGTCTACTAATCAGTCTTTTGCAGCAATCCATATGCTGTAAATTGGAATTATTTTTATGTAGCCTCAATCTGACAGCCAGTTTGGTGCAACAGTTGAGGAACCAGGCTAGAAATCTGCAGACTGTGAGTTGAAGTGTCATCTTAGGCACAAAGCCATCTGGGTGATCTTTGGCCACTTGTTCTTAGCCCTAGAAAGAAGGCAATGACAAACTGTTTCTGAAAATGTTGCCAAGAAAACTGCAGGGACTACCAGAGTCAGGAGTGAACTTTAGATAGATTTAAGAAGACTTTCACTGTTTGTTTTTCAGTTCCTCTTACATCAATGATAATTCTAAGGGACATTACATTAATTGCTGCTGTTTTCTATGTTCGATACAAAACTCTTCCTCCACCGGTAAGTATCCTGCCATGTGTTAATATGCGTTTGATAGGAAATCAAAGCAATCATAGGATAAACAGCATATGTAAAAATTGTTCCCAAATGCAGGCTTGCTAAAATAGGAATCGGACTTATTTTTTTCTACACAGACAGTGATAGAAATAGTGGGTTGTTTTTTTTGTCACAAAGAATTAGCGAGTGAAAGGGATTCCTTATTTGGTCTCTCTCTTCCTCTCTTGTTGTTTGTATTTCTGTCCATGACAGATCTTTCTTTGAATGCTTCCCTTATCTTCTGCCTTTCAGATAGAAGTGTGACTCCCCAAATTCCCCTTGGGCTAAAAGTCTTGAACTGTGTGTGCTAATTTCCTTATAATATTTTCCCAGCCTTCCACTTGAGTGTTTACAAAATTATAAAAATACTCTCTCTGACCTTTTCAGTAAAAAAAATTAAAGACCATACATAATTTTTGTCCATCAGAATGACAATTTTCTTTGATTCTTCACTATTTCTTCATTACTATATCTTTCTTCATTACTATATCTTGCTATGCTCTACTTGTTAAATGACTCCAAGTTTCCTTTTCATTTTCATAATCTTGTTCAAGCTTCAGAATTGTCAGCTTGTCCACTCTGATCTCATCTTTTCACCATCTATCTTCCTGTGCCCTTTTCTTGCCCAGCATCTCATTCTCAGCTGCAGAAGAGTCTCCTACTTTCCCACTAAAATGACATCATTTCTGTTTCTATTCCTAAACTTTTCTCTCAGAATGTCTGTTTGACCACTTCCCTTACTTCCATGTTGTTCCTGAAAACAACCTTTTAAAGAGGTATTGTCATCCCAGTTACCCTACTGAATTAAACCAAAATATTATTGAAATAATCGCAGATCTTCTCCTGTAGATCCTATGTTTCTTTAGTCCCATTTGTTTCCTTAATTTAATTTCTTGTAAGCCATCTTCCCTGTAAAGCGGATGTAGACAGTCGAAGCCTAAGGCATAGGCAGCCTTCTATAGCGCCCAAGGATTGCACCATTAAAATTATCAGATAATTTTTCCTGTTTGTTTTGTTGCTGAAATAAAGAATAGGGACTCTACTAAGGTCTGCTGGCTTCATGCGTTCATTTTGTACTTTAAAATTGGGTGTAGTGGTGAAGGCACTGGCCTAAAAACCAAAAGACTGTGAATTGTAGTCCCACCACAGAGATGGGAGATTTTCACTCTCTCTCAGAAAAATGCACCTCACAGGGTTATTTCTGTGGGGAAAGTAGGAGGAGGAAGGCGTATTAGGTATGTTCACCACTTTGACTTATTTATAAAAGAAACAAATATAATATAAAATAATATTAAAAAAATTAAACACAGAGACAACAGTGTTCTAAAACAGGTTAAATATTTGAGCACGAATCCATTTTGACTTATCTTTCCTAAAGCTGTGAAAACCCCAACCCCCTTTTATACTCTGATTGCCTACAGAGTAAGTCAGATATACAGTACGCATGAAGAATTTGCACTGTTAATTATAAGCATAAAGACGTAGAATTAAATATGCTGTGTTGCTAAAAACATCAGGTCGGTTTTATCAGTTCATAAATTTAGTAAAGGCTTTGTTTCACCATGTTTATTAAAAGCAAGATTATTTTTTTTTCTTTCTCACAGAAGACATTAAGTAGATATTTCAATCCATGCTACGTCACTGCTCAGTTAAAACCAACATTCATCAGCAAGGTAAGAGCAAGAGTATGTCATGCTGTGTCCATTTGGCAAACTGAATATTGCCTTACAACATCATTTTTTTTGTATCCTGCAATATGATTGTCTTTCATGACTTAAACACGTAGGCCTCATTTAATGATCATTTGTCCAGTGACTGTTTCAAATTATGATGGTGCTGAAAAAATAGACTTACAATTTGGTCCTTGCTCTTACCTCTATCACAGTGTCCCTGCAGTTACACAAACAAGAGTCAGGCACTTGGCAACTATCACAAATTTATAACAGTTGTAATATCCCACTTTTCTTTGTCCCCCCCCCCTCACATCTATGCCCTTTTGGCTGCTCTGCTGGAAGGGTGGCAGGTAGATGGCAGCATACAGTAGCCTCTTTATCTCAACCATACAGGTAGTCCTTGATTTACAACCGTGCATTTAGTGACAGTTCAAAGTTACAACAGCACTAAAAAGAGTGAGTTAACAACCATTTTTCACACTTATGACCACTGCAGCATCCCCATGGTCACGTGATCAAAATTCGGATGCTCGGCAACTGGTTCATATTTATGATGTTTGCAGCGTCCCGGGGGGAGGTCATGTGATCACTTTGGGCGACCTGACAAGCAAAGGCAACGGGAGCCAAACTGACGTAACAACCGTGTTATTAACATCTGCAGCGATTCATTTAACAATTGTGGCAAGAAAGCTCATAAAGTGGGGCAAGACTCACTTAAAAGCCGTCTTGCTTAACCACAGAAAATTTGGGCTCAGTTGTGGTTGTAAGTGGAGGACTATGCACTGTGCAGAGCAGAGCAGCCAAAAGAACAGAGATGAGGGCAGGTGGGGGATGTTGAAGCAGAGGCAGCGCTGTTCCCACAAGGCAGGCAGGAGAAAGGAGTTGGCCTCTTCAGGCTCAGTGATCCCCTGAAAGTGTCTTTTGCCTTGGACAAATTGGGGCTGGGAGGGACACAACCAGGATTGGCTTGAACGGGGATCAGTCTTCACCTAATAACTGTATGAGATTTGCTTAACAGTGGCAGCCAGGACTGCCGAAACTGCCATTGTTAAGTGGTACGGTCACATGATATTCCACTTACTGACAGAGTTGCTAGTCCTAGTTTGGGTTGCTAAATGAGGATTACGTGTAATCTACTGCCTCAAGTCAGATGTGGAGGACATGGAATATGAACGAGAACAATAGAGAATGAATGACGTCCATAATGAGAGAAAATGTGGAAGTGGTTTGTTCACTGAAAGAGAATGATGCCCGAATGGCAAAACAAATATGTAAAGGAAGAGTGAACGGGCAAAGAGAAAGAAAGAGACAAAGTTGTGGGTGGAATCAGTTGATGGGATCCTCAAAAAGGAAGTAAAGGCAACCAATGGTGACTTGCAAAGACAGAAAGATGAATTCTGCTGGTGTAAATTAGATAAAAGTTGTATTTTCTTTCCTGTATTATATCTTTAATGTATTTGGTTTACTCTTCCATACTCCCATTTCTGTGATTTACATTACATTGCTTACACTGAAAGGGAAGAGCATCGCGGGCATGTATTGTATGTGTAGTACTTTTTCTGGGAAAGTTCATAATGTGACCTTAGTTTTAATCTAATTTATTACCAGGTGAACACAGTAGTACAGCTCATCTTAGTAGCAGCTTCTTTAGCTGCTCCAGTTTTCAATTATGTGGACAGTGTGTATCTTCAGACTTTATGGTATGTAACGTTATAATTTTTGTTATACTATTAATAAATGGAAAAACAGGCAGTGTAAGGAGTACAATGAAAGCTCGTGAGATTCAAGGTAGTTCATGAAAGCAAGAAGAAACATACAATAAAAATAGGAGCAAGCACAGCAATGGCCTATTTAAAAAGCAGCGTTCACATCAACATTTGATGGCTAATGCTTTCACTGTTCTCATGTTAGTATTGGGTCTAGGTGTACTGGATTCAGAGATGATTTATTTTAAGGAGGATAGTTCCACCTGCTTCTTCACTACTTCCTCTCCAATTCAGACATACACACATACGCAGCTCTTCCTGCCTTGTGAAATAGCCAGGCTAAGTATAGGTTCAGTGTGTTGGTGGCAGAACCCATACAGTGGTGCCAAGTTTCCAGAAGCTTAAAAAAAAAGTCACATTTTTTCTAAATTTCACAAATAATAACGGTCAGAAGTCCAGTGGATTCTTTAGTCAGCTTAACCCAGCAAATGAGGAAATATATAATTTTTACTCAAGAATTTGAACAACTTTAGAGTCAAATTAGATCAGGGTTGTTAAACTGCCGGCCCGCGGGCCGGTTTCATCATACCAGAACCGCGCCCACCCCATTGCCGGCAACGGCGAAAAAGCTCTGATATGTTGCACGACGTCATGTGACGTCACGAGTTTGACATGTCTGAATTAGATGGTCACAAACTAAAAGGTGAACAGAATTACAACTCCAAGGTATCTTTTCTAAGGTTGATTTAGATAAAAATGTAAGTATATGTGGGATTACAATCCTAGCAACATAAAAGCTCACTGAATTATGTTCTTATAGAAAGAGTTTGATTGATTTAAGGCAGAACTCACATCGCCTTGGCATTCTTCTGCCATATGGTATCAAATGTCGATTTTAAAAAATATTTTGGCTTAGGTAGGATTTTTTTGGAACTTCTAGGCATTTTACGTAGCTCAGCTTTATATATCAGATCTTAATTGTCATAGCAAAAACAGTTCCACCTCAAATAGGATTCTTCCTAGCTTAAAAAGGTTTTTAAAAATTGTGTTGCAGTGATTTTTAGACTTGGCGTTATCTCATTTTTTGCTTGGAAACTAAAATAATCATTTTCTCCCCGAAGGTGCATCACAGCTTTCACAACAACTGCATCTGCATACAGTTACTATCATTATGGCCGAAAAACAGTTCAGGTGCTAAACGATAAATGAAGTTTTGCAGAATGACTGTTCTCCTCTCATTCAATTTGTGGGGAGTTTATGCAGAGACTCTGAATGATACTTTTGCCTCAGTGAAACTATGCCTTCACGGTGTGAAAATGAAGTTTTGATCATGTAAATAAGCAGAATTTTCAGTGTATTATTTCAATCTATTACAAATAAAATATATTTTTTTTACTGTACTGAACTTACATATATGTAAACATTATTGTCTGATATTTTTTGTTGATTGCTGTCCAGAAATTTGCACTTGGTGTGGGTCACTTGCCTGTTTCCTTTGGTGTATCTCAATTGAAACAGTTATATGAAATATGAAATAATTAATACAAGCAGAATTTAGTTGAGTTTTAGTGTATTTAAAATGCGGTATAATCGATGATGCAGCCTATTACTACAATAGATAAATGTAATAGAGCAGGCAGTAAATTCTACAGAATATAGCTACAGTATGATCTTTATAACCCTTCATAAACCCTTCTGGTTTAAATATTACGATTGCAATAGCCCTTTAAGATAAAACTTGGGTCACTTCATTCTTAGTCTAATATTGGGGCATACTTTATTTAGGAAAGAGCTGCTTTAATTGTTCCAGTGATATGCTAACATAGTTTTGTTAGATTGTTTTGAAAGGTGACCAATACATAAAACATACAAGTATGCAGATGCAAAATAGAGAATCAAAATAGTTGATTTTCCAAGGCTGCTGATAAAAATGTTCTCTGAATTGGGCCAGCAGAATAGTTAATGTTGAAATAAGGGCAAAGCTTATGTGACAAACTTAGTAATCAGATGTCCTATGAAACAGATTATTTGATTGTGGTTTCCTAATTCTGCTTGTACTGTAAAATCTCAGCCCCTGGAGATTGTCCTGGCCTATTTTACAGGCTGTTTATAAGGAGTATAACAAAATGAGTGCATATATCATTTTGTAACGATTTTCATAAGTGTAAGAAACTTAATAGAGGAAGTTGGTCTATCTTATGTGCAATCTTTTGTCTCAGTTTATCAAACTATTTTAAGACTGTAGGAAAGATGAAAGATACAATTTGAAGAGTGAGCAGAGTCTATTTTAAGACTATAGCAACTTTTCGAAGGCATTATTTGTCAGTAGAAGGGAAAATATTATGGCTTTGGATAAATTTATACTGTATTGCAGGATTGTTTGGAAAAGTTTTATGCAAGCACTAATGTATGGTAATGTAATGTACATCAGTATGGTGGGCAGGTGCCATTATCTGACAGCTACCTTTTGCCATAATACCAGACAGCTAAGAAAATGGATAATAAAAGTAAAACAAGAAAGGTCCTTCTTTGATCTGGCTGACATGAACAAGATGTTGAGGTTTCTGTGAGAAAAAGTTTGCAAATCTGCATGTTAATGATTAAGAGCTGCAAACATCAAGTATGATATTTGTTAAAGCATAGGAAGTTAAGGACAAAAGTCTTAAGCCACTGTATAGGTGACTCTAATGTTTTGCTCATTTGATTAAATACAGGAATCAAAACAAAGGATAACAATTATGCATTCAGGTAGTCCTCAACTTATGACCCCAACTGAGCCCAAAATTTATGTTGCTAAGTGAGAAATTTGTGAAGTGAGTTTTGCCCAATTTTACAACTTTTCTTGCCACATTTGTTAAGTGAAGCACTGCTGTTGTTAAATTAGTAGCACTGTTGTGAGTGAATCTGGTTTTCCCCATTGACTTTGCTTGTCAGAAGGTCGCAAAAGGTGATCTCATGACCCCGGGACACTGCAACCGTAGTAAGTGTAAACCCGGGGTCAAGCATCCAAATGTAAATCATTTGACCATGAGGATGCTTCAATGGTCATAAGTGTGGAAAAATGGTCATAGGTCACTTCTTTTCAATGCTGTTGTAACTTCAAATAGTCATTAAGTGAACTCTTGTAAGTTGAAGACTACCTGTATTTAGCTCCAGTTTCCACAATAGCAGAATTTAGGCTTTTTTTTTTTAAACGACCTGTTTGAGATGTTACAGAATTGGATCAGACATGCTTAACGACGTGCAAACAAATAATGTTTCACGTGTGGTAAGCAATTGCCTGAAAATAAAAATACCTACTAAGCTGAAAATAAATGTGAAAATATTGCATTAAACAGCACAGTACAAATGGTTTTGCTGTAGAAATGAAGGGCGAGAGTCGGAATGGTTGGGATATTCTATGCATTATACAGTATTTTTAAAACACATTTTATATATCTAAATTTTATAAAGTTTATATGCTGAAAATATTTTTTGATAGTTTATACAAAATCAGGCTGTTGCAATCTGATTGTATTGCGGTCTATAAAGTTTTCCCCCTATTTTATCGAGACAAAATAGGCGATATGCTACAGAACCACAGAATATATTCCTTCAACCAGATAAGCATAAATGTTTCCAATGCCAATATGCAAGAAGTTTGAAAATGAATAGTTATGCATGTTTGTCTGCAGTCGTTGCCTTTGCACTTTCAAAATAAATCCTTTAAATGACTTCACTGTGTCTAATTGTGTTGCGTGAACCCTGTTCAAGCATGACAGCGGCTGGTGCTGCCATAGTGTCCCTCACATTGTCATAATCAGGGTGCAAAAGGTTTAGGTAGGTTGCTCAAAGATGTACAATGACCACATCACAGGATGTCCATATCAAGCTGATAAGAGAATATGAATATTTAAGGCCATAATGGCTTTGTGCCTGACTCTCATGTTAAAATCTGCAAGAGAGGCCCTTTTAAAGATGCTTTACTTTTCAAAGGGTGCACTTCTTAAGAGGCAGCCTTGTCCTATGCATTTAAAGCTAGTCTCTTTAGCCAGGCCTCTAAAATGATAACAAACACGATATTTCCAATTTTAAGCATCTTTTCTATTTCTGATGCATATTTTACATCGATTTGACTGACAATAAAACTTACTTTTCGTCCTGGTTCCCTGTCCTTTTAGGGATGTATTCCTTGGCATGGCATTAGTGCCACTTGGTCAGGAAAAAGTTGTGTAAACTGGTTTAAAATATGCTGATTAAAATTCCCAACAGAGGCGCTGTTTATTTGCTTGTTCACAGTTGTTCACTATGTTCTTTATTCCAACCTGATGTCTTCTAGCAGCTGAAATTGCGGCTATGCGGAAAAATTAATTACTCTATGCTGCCTAGGAACTAAATTTTTTATTTTGGTTCTTCATTTTAATGCCAGAATTATCTGTCAGCTATCTGATCATCTGTTCCAACTCTCATTGATATGACACTTTCCATGCCAAATGAAACAAATAGATATTTGAAACTACGAGAAAATAGTCTGATATTTAAAATCTTATTCTATAAAAATGAATTACAATTTTTTTAGGATAATCCAGGTAGAATAAGATGTTAAATCGGCCTGTCTGAATACACATTTATTGTATAGAGATTGTGATGCTTAACATTTCTAAACTTTTGACATTTTCTTATAAAGCGTTCAGACTTAACAGAAAGATTCCTTCATGTCTAAAATGTGCAAGGAATAAATGTATGTAGCAAAATATTTAATATTTTATCATTGATAAAAGTAAATAAATTGAGTGAAAATAGCAAGATACACAATTGATCTTTGAATAAATGCCACAAATAATACATTCTAGTTTGAAAGTAACTTTGCATAAACACTTACTCTTCAGTAAGAAGATGAAATAATTTCATTTGGAGTTTAAGAAAACAAATTTAAACAAGGAAGGCAAAAGCTGGAGTGCTATTTTTTCTTTTTTTAAAAAAAAATCAGAATTTTTTAAAAAATATTAATCCCAACGTTTAGGGCTCATCCTGGAAGTTAAGGCAGAGATCATATGCATAAATTAAATCTGTTGGAGAAAATAAACATTCTGACTTTTAAGTGATTTGGGTAAAGAAATTATGCTTACAGCTTAAACCTAAACATATTTATTTGGAAGTTTAACAGAGCCTGCTTCCTGAGCAGACTGTTCAGATATCATGCCTTTTTCTACAGTTCTTCATACACTTTTAATAGTAATCCCCACTGGAAATAATTAGATTTATTTTTAAACACTGAAATTAATCAAGAAGGAAGACTAGTTTCCCCCCCCAAAATATGGCTTTTATATTGGAGAATCTTGTAGTGTTAAGAATTCCAGGCCTCTCCCTCAAAAATATTTCTGAAGGTAATAATAATTGTGTAAGTCAGAGTGCAGCTGTGTAATTTCTTCTATTGTTCCAGTGGAATATTTAGGATTGTGTTTTCCATATGGTGTGGTAAACCCCACTAGGTATAAACCCCAACAGGAAATCAACTCCATAGGAAGGCTAAAGTCATTTTTGTGAGATTGGCTGTAATATCGAAATCTTGCAAATCTGAGTTTCCATCCTCATATTCTGAATCAGGGAGGCCTATGTGAGCCACTTCTGAATGTTATTTACCTGTTGTGGATTTAAAATGTATTTCACACACACTCCTGTTCACCCTAGTGACAGATGTTGCTTAGCTAATCCTCGACTTAACGACCACAATTGAGCTCAAAATTTTCGATGCTGAATGAGACATGTGTTAAGTGGGTTTTGCCCTATTTTATGACCTTGCCACAGTTCTTAAGTGAATCACTGCACTTAAGTTAGTAACACGGTTGTTAGGTGAATCTGGCTTTCCCATTGGTTTTGTTTGTCAGAAGGTTGCAAAAGGTGATCACATGACTCCAGGACACTGCAACCGTCATAAGTGTGAACCAGTTGCCAAGTGTCAAATGTTGATCACTTGAACATAGGGCACGGGTAGGCAACCTTGGCTCTTTTATGACTTGTGGACTTCAACTCCCAGAATTCTTGAGTTAGCATGGCTGATTCAGGAATTCTGGGTATTGAAGTCCACAAGTCATAAAAGAGCCAAGGTTGCTTACCCGACATAGGGATACTGCAATGGTTGTGTGAAAAATGTTCATGTCATTTTTTTCGGTGCTGTTGTACCTTCCAATGGTCACTAAACAAATGTTTGTGAGTTGAGGACTACCTATATACCTATCCGATTAATCATTCTCTGTGGGTTTCCTTTCTGGTTTCACCTATAACGTGTGGCATTCAGCATCCTCAGGTCTTCGGATGGACCTAAATTTGGATTTTGGATCCTGATCCCAGCAAACAGAATACACTGTTGACAACAGATCAGATCTGATGAGGAAAAGGAAGATCTACTATCTACTTACAGTAAATAGGCAGAGCATGGGAACAGTAACACTTCCAAGTGAAAGAAACAACTTCTTTCAGCTGTTAAAAGCTCAACATTTTGTCCTCAGTTTGGAAGCCGTGATGCCAAATATTTTCATAATGATACCCCATCCTCCCTTGGCAGCATGCTTAGGTGTCACTGCTCAAAAACACATCCTCTGTGGAGTCAAGGAAGTATAGTTGGATTTATGCAAATGTGGCTAGGAGGCACTTTCCACAGCAGAAATAGGTTGTTATGAGTATAAAATCCAGCCTGACACTTAATAGGGAAAGATGGGAAGGAATGAAAGTTCTTGGGTTCCATGAAATACATAGCATAAGTGGTATTTTTATGTCTTTGGATGACCTTCCTCACTCCAACATTGTAACAGTCTGGTACTCATATTAAGCTATCCTGAAAAATCAATCTTAAGAGAATTTTTTTTGGTCCATGAAAATGTTCATATCCAATGGGTCTGGGCCACGATCATTTAATAGTCTTCCATCAAATCCACTCCGGAGAGTTGAGGGACTCTCCCAAAGAGCAAGCACAGTAGTGGCTTCAAGAGGACAGGGAAAAATCAGTTTCTCATTCCTGCTGGCAAGTCCGAAGTTTCTGCTAATTGGATTAAATGCTGAATTTAAGTCCTTCCTCCTAAAAAATAGTTTAAATTTTGAGGATTTGTGGTAGCTGTTCGATATTTTTCCATTGTTTTAAATATTGAAAAATAATTTCTGATGGCTTCAATTGGAGAGGAAATTTCACAATGAGAAAGCAATACTAAAGCAAAACAATTGGGGGGAAAAAAACCCATCACAGTGGGTAAACAGTTTACAACAATGGCCTATATTTTGCCAGTCACATTGCCCGGATTTATTTTATGGAATAATCAAAAGCAGGATTTTTATAAGACACTAGATGTGTGTTATATTGCTCTATGTGTGGTGTCTTATATTTTTTGCACAGACATATTGACAGTAATATGGTAGCTATGAGAAAGATCCCACTTGTTGCACACAGAGCCGCAAAGATAGATGTGTAGCTGGACTTGGTTACAAAGGTGCTGCATGGAGCGTTATGCTCATTCCAGGCTGCAGTGTGGCTTGATCCTGCCTTGTTCCAAGCAATTATACATACCTGGTAGGTGGAACCAGGCAGAAGGTTATAAAGAGTGTACCGCCTAGCGGTGGCATAAATCTCTCCAGAATTTGTGTAATTCTTTTTGCTGCCTTTAGGACGGTAGGCAAGCTGATAGAATCTTACTGCAGAATTTGGGGAACACCAGTGGATCTGGGCTGAAGTGTCCCTCATTTCAGATACTTCATGAAATCTTGGCGGATCTGGGATGGTGAATTCATCCGACATGCCTGGGCACAGGCAGGAAGACAACTTTTGGAGGTCAACACAAGGCTTCTGGAGATGCCTGCATGGATCATAATCACACAAATCCATGGTCTGGGCTACAGATGCCACTTGCTGGTTTTCATAGTCATAGTCATCTGTATAATCTGGTAGACTATTAGTAGATGCAAGATTTGGAAAGGCGGTAGATTTGGTGGGATCCTGAAGGGATAGATCATTCTCGTTTGAATCTGTGTTTCTGTACGAAATGAACAAATCACTGGAAACTTCGGAGGAAGATGTTTCTGTCACTTCAGTTGTAAAACTGTACAAAGCAGACTGGTGCAGTGTTGTGGTATCTTGTTCCCTTTCATTTATTTCAGTTGTGCTCACTACAGTTTGCTCAATAGAGAGTTTTCCCATGATTGTTGAGAACTCTGTTGTAAGAGGTGCAACAGTCAATGGGTGATTAGTAGATCTATGAACTGCCTGCTCTTTATAAGCAAGAATGTCTGCCTTACTTGGATCCTTCCATGTTAGATCTCTCCAGGTAAAAGATGTGCTTTGAGGGGTGAAGGAATCGCTGAGAGACTTTTGAGGCAAACTACTGGAGTTGGCCAATATTTCTGTAGCGATGCTGGTAGGGGTGTGGTAAAGTTTGCCTTGAACCAAAGATGAGGCTGAATGTGTGGTTGTCTGAGCTTGACACTTATCATAAAGCTTGGATAACAGCATAGATGAAGATGTTTCTTTATCTTCTGGAGAAAAATAGCACATGGTTTCTGATGCCCTAAAACAAAACAGTAGAGGCCAAATCAATCACGAGGAAGCAGAAAGATGTAACACGAAAAAAAACCGTTTATTGTCCTATATCCTTCATTTGTACTTCTGTATTTTTGTGTGAATGGTTTTTAGCATTCTAGCTCCAGTGTAAAAGTTCAGCTTTGCCTCTCACACTATTATGGTATGATGTGATCTGAGGAATAGGAGGAATAAGAGTGAGTTCTATGAAATCTATGAAAGAAGTCAAGCCCCTGTGTAGAAGAGGCTCTAGGAAGAGTCTGTTTTGATCAAAGCCCAAATGGTCATTTTTCTAAATGTGGAAGGCACAGGTGTTATGGGACTACTAGGGATATACAGTATATGGCTTCTGATTGGTATGCCAGGAGAAAGACACTCCCCAGAGTACCCAGAAATGAGAGTTAAAAGGGGGTCATAAAACAGTGAATACAATCTCTTCTTTTGAAGTTCATTCCTGCAATATTAAAAGTTTTAATTTTAATTTTAACTTTTCCAGGCACTCCACAGGCTGTACCAAGGCTTTGAAGACTGGAATGTCAGGTTGTGCCCTTTTAATCCAAACCAATTTACCTTATAGCTACAGACTATCCCTGCTCCCTATTCCTAGTACCAGTTTCCATCGTATGAAACTGATATATGATAACTTAGTAATTAATGTTTGAATGTAGGCCTTACTGTCAGTTTATTTCAACAGGTTAATCAAAAGTAACAATTAAAATGAAACAAAACTTTGGAATGGTTTTCAATTAGTTTGGTTTCACATTTTTGAGATTCTCTGGTTGCCAATTATTTGCTGCAGTAAAGAACTGAGTGGACTTGATCGACTAACTTTAAAAGCCTTCACTGCGAACTGTCTCTACACTCTTATCATCCTTATCATCCACACCCCGTTTAATGTGCAATACACGAGTGCTTAGTCTGTTTGTCCCTGTATGCAAGTTGTGATGAGAACAAAATTACAACTGATGGGCCTGTGCTCCCCTATATGAGAGTTATGTTAGTCTTTAAACATGACCTATATAACTTTTCAAAAATGGCAAAACTCTCAATTCCTGGCAAATAGATAAGGAAGAAATGGAGGTAGTGACATATTTTATCTTCCTGGGCTCCAAGATCACCACAGATGGGGACTGCAGCCAAGAAATTAAAAGACGCTTGCTCCTGGGGACGAAAGCTATGGCAAATCTAGACAGCATACTAAAAAGCAGAGACATCACCCTGCCAACAAAAGTACGTATAGTCAAGGCCATGGTTTTCCCAGTTGCAATGTATGGCTATGAAAGTTGGACCATAAGAAAGGCTGAGTGCAAAAAATTGAGGCCTTTGAACTATGGTGCTGGAGAAGACTCCTGTGAGACCCCTGGACTACAAGGCGATCAAACCGGTCAGTCCTAGAGGAGATCAACCCTGACTGCTCTTTAGAAGGCCAGATCCTGAATTTGAAACTCAAGTACTTTGGCCACCTAATGAGAAGGAAGGACTCACTGGAGAAGAGCCTAATGCTGGGAAAGATTGAGGGCAATAGAAGAAGGGGACGACAGAGAATGGGGTGGCTGGATGGAGTCACTGAAGCAGTAGGCGTGAGCTTAAATGGACTCCAGAAGATGGTAGAGGACAGGAAAGCCTGGAGGAACATTGTCCATGGGGTCGCGATGGATTGGACACAACTTCGCAACTAACACAACAACAAAGGGATGGAAAACATAAGATGTGACGCCTTTTTCTAAAATCAAATTCATACCCTTGCCTTTGGTACATATTGCTGTTTGCTTTTCTGTCTTCTTTTAGATCTTGCTGATTCAAGAATTTTTTATTTTTAAATTACAAATCTACACAACAGTTAATGACAGCATTAAATGCCTTTGGACCCCATGTTGCACAACTCCTACCCTTTTAAAAGCTAATGTGGCCCTGAAACTGGAGTTATCTTCATTGTCATAACTCTTCTTACCTCTGCAGAACTACTGTGTCAGGGTTTGAGAACAACCAAGAAATTGCACAATGACAAACCAAAGGATTTCCATAGAGGTTGACGGAAAGGGTGTGCGATGAAGTAAGATTCCATGGGCTGAAGGTGCTCAAGTTACAGCTAGGAAAAAAACAAAACGGAAGAAATAGGAAACTGAATATCCGAATTACAGGTATTCCTCAACTTACATCACTTCATTTAGTGACCATTTGAAATTATAATGGCCTAGAAAAGTGACCTAATGATTGTTTTTCACACTTACGACCCTTGCAGCATCTCCATGGTCACATGACCAACATTCAGACACTTGGCAACTGACTCATACTTATGACGGTTGCAGTGTCCCGGGAGTCAGGTGATCCCCTTTTGCAACCTTCTGACAAGCAAAGTCAATGGAGAACCCGATTCACTTAACAACCATGTTACTAACTTAACAACTGCAGTGATTCACTTAACGACTGTAGTAAGAAAAGTCATAAAATGGAGCAAAACTCACTTTAACTGTCTCGCTTAGCAACAGAAATTTTGGACTCAATTGTGGTCATAAGTCGAGGACTACCTGTATTGTTTGCTTTACTGTCATAAATGGTGGAGGGAGATTGTATTATATGCTTTTTTCTCTGTTATACATCTGTCCACTCTGCAGCCTCCTTGATTTTCTGATATGAAATACAAGTTGTCTCATGAAATTTCTGTTTGGGATTTATCTTGAGCTTATGAAACACAGGTGGCTGGAGATTGTTGGAAAGATGATTATAAAATGAAATATGATTTCTCTTTAGTAATGCATATCAAAGGGGAACCCCCTCCCACCAATTTTTTTTTCTTCATGTTTGATAAAACATACAATTTATTTTCTATCAAATACAGGAGCATTTTTACAGGAGCATATATATGATGAAAAAGACCAGATGATTCAACTATATCCTTATAGCTGAATCAATGTCATTACAAATTTCACTTAATAGATTAAGGAATGAAGTCATTTAGAAGGAGGGTTGTGATGAGGTTCATCCAACCTGACGTCTTTTAGATATGTATGTCAGTCCAATAATTTTTCATCCCCAGTCTACACCGTGAATTAGTTAAGCAAAATTGTCTTTGTAGCCCAATAGATTTAAAGGGAGGCATTTGAAAGCTCAATTAAGATAGACCCCCCTACCAGTAAGAAGACACAGGAAATCTTACTTTTTAAATATTAGGAAGGCCACACGAGGTATGTGATGGAATGACTCGGTTTCCACTAGACTCAGTGCATGGGAATCTTGGCAGTTCAATTCTCTTAGCATGGGCACATCGCGGAAAACAGCTGGATCCAGTCTTCTTAGCTTGGGCATTTGTGTTAGATAGAAGGAGGTGAGCTGTGGCAGATCTTTGATCCAGTCCTCGTGAACTGGGAAGAAGGAGGAGGAGGAGGTTAGATCAAACGAAGGACAGACTTAAGGTGATACTGACTTGAAGGCATGGGTGGGGCCTGTGGACCTCAAGATGCTGAAATTACCAGTGGAATTTCTAATGAATACTCACCTGGAGGACACAATCTTCCTTACTTCCTTTTGTATGTTCAGTCATCTGCGTCTGACAATATTTTAAAAGCAGACTGTTTTGCAACCACAATAAAAAAGAAATAATTCTGTGAAGAAGGCAATTGGTTCTAAGGTCATTACTTGCCTTTCTGTCTCCTTACTGTATGCTTGTGAGGTAGATATGAATAGAGAACTTTTAAGTAATTATTAATGAGTGTGCTGATTGATATCAAGGATGCTTAATCATAATCATCATGTTAAAATACAGTTTAGAGAATAAATGGAAGCTCTACAACCATGAATAATCTCTGGATCAAATCAGACATCCCTGCCAAGAGCCTTCCATTGGTAGATTCTAATGCTTACAAGTGACCATGATGGATGAGGCTGTGGGAATGGTAGTTCAAACAATCTGTTGACATTGGGTTGCTTATTTTGTTCTGTATTGTAAATGAGATACACAATAAACAGTAAGCCACTGTAAAAGTACATATAGACAAATGCCCTATCGGATAAGAAAACTTAGCAAAAGACTCCTAAAATGCAGGCATCAGGAGGAAAAATATCTGGGAGTGGGGAATACTAAATTTACCCATTCTTGGTTTTTAAAAGTGAAACTAAATGCTGCTTTCCTAAACTTTCCTGGGAGTCTCATTGAACATTACTTTTAAGTAGTTATGTAGATTTATTGTAAATGTTTAAATGTAATGTAAGTAGTATTTATTAGGGATCTTTTAAAATAATATTAATCTCATTTGTACACATTAATGATTATTACAGGTAGTCCTCGATTTACAACAATTCATTTAGTGACCGTTTGAAGTTACAAGTGGCACTGAAAAAAGTGACTTACGGCCGTATTTCACACTTACAGCATCCCCACAGTCACTTGATCAAAATTTGGATGCTTGACAACTGGTTCATATTTATGACAGTGGCAGTCATATGGGTCATGTGATCCCTTTGGGCGACCTTCTGACAAGCAAAGTCAATGGGGGAAGCCAGATTCACTTAACAACGGTGTTACTAACTTAACAACTGCAGTGATTCACTTAACAACGGTCGCAAGGAACGTCATAAAATGGGGCAAAATTCACTTAACAACTTAGCAACAGAAATTTGGGGCTCAGTTGTGGTTGTAAGTTGAGGACCACCTGTATTGTTTTGTCTTGAAAAAGTGAAAGAAGTCCCTCAAGTGGGAAATTCACCCCCAAAATTAATGTTGTCTATGTATTCAGATTTCAGCCCTGGAATGCAAATTCTAAATTTCCAATTAAAACTGAATGCAGGTGTATTATGGATTGCCCATTATCCCCAGGCAAGGTAAGATAAGAAATGTAGTTTAGCATGGCTAGAAGTTACAACTTTGGGAAAGACCTTGTTTTGCCAAAGTCTTCAGTCAGATTATAGAAAACTTTATAATCCCATTTTACACCCACCTCTCCCACCCCACCCAGTTTGCTGTTTCTCAGCTTAAATTTTAACACTTACTCCTCTCTAGGAAGGTTGCACTGAGGTCCAGGACACCGATCGGAGCTTTTCTGGCTTTTTCAGTGGACTCTGGGTGGCGGGACAAGTTAATTGCAAAAGCAGATTCCAGAATTCCCATTTTCCCATCTTTTCCCAGCCACGTGGACGACAAGTTCAGGAAATGCAGCTGAGGATAGCAGGAGAAAGCGAACGGCTGGATCTCTCTGATAGGGTTTCCCGCTAGAGACAACCACCTCAGATTGTCCAAAGAAGTAACGCAGGCAGGTACAATCGAGAGCAAATTGAAGCTCAGATCCACAAACTGAAGACTGCTGAGGTTTCCAGTCCCCCATATCACCCTGTGGATCTGATTTTCTCTCAAGGAGAGGATTCGCAGTTTGGGCAAATAAGCCACATCTTGGCTATTTAGTTCTGGCAAAAGATTGAGACTCAAATCCAGATGTTCCAGAAGCTCTGGCAGACATTCAGGGAAGGAAGTGAGATTTTGATTCTGCATATGCAAGATGATTGATGTCTGGTTCTTCAGCTCCTCACAAGGCAAGCTAGTATAGTTTATGTTTTCCTCCCAGACACTGTGCTGAACCAGCTGGAATGGGGCTTTGACATCTTCTGGTATGGTAGGAGTTGCTTTCTCTGTGGGCTTAGCACTGATGAGTCTGACAAGCAAAACTACACAGGCCAGGAAGCTGGACATTGTGGTCCTTTAAAAGCACCTTGGCTATAAAGAGGGAGCTGTTTTCAAAGGATGGGCTAAGGGAGGAAAACAATATTGAGTGCTACCAAAAATTAATTTCCACAGAATTACCTTCTATTTTACAATGTCTATTCATTAAAATATCATAAGAACCTGACCTTATAGTGGGAAGAGGAAAAAAAAATGCAACTGGATTTGGTCTTGAAATCCAGAGGCTCTCTTAACTGGCAGATAGATCAACCATTAATTTAGATGGCTACTTTTTATTTGTTTTATCCTGCCTTTATTGCTTTTATCAAGAGATCAAGGCGGTGAACATACACAATACTCTTCCCTCCTATTTTTCCTACAACCACCACCACGTGAGGGTGCGTTGAATCACCCTACATCTTCATACATACATTTACACGTATGTAACTGAACAAAAGGGAAAGAAAGTGTACGGAGAGTGCCTAGTTCAAATTCAACCAGGTGGCTTTCATGCCCAAGGCAGGACTAGAACTCACGGACTCCTGGTTTCTAGACCATCACCATAACCACTACACCAAACTGACTTATCTACTATTTATCTAATTAGTTACTCTCTATACTCTCTTCATTCAGACTATAGTCATGTACATACACATACTATATATGACTATCCATTTAGAAGTATGTTCTGGGGAATGCAACTGACTTTGCTGTACTATTTAATAATTTAATCCTGAGCTAAACCTGCCTTGCAATTTCTCAAAAGTTTCCCTTCTTTGGAAAAAGGCTTTTTGTTTTTTGACTCTTCTTCTTGGGAGCTCATAAACTTTTACATTTCTTTTGCAAGTTTGAGCAAACTGTATAGTTGAAGGTGGCGGCATGGATTACAGCGGGCTTATTCTTTGTATATCTGCACATCCTTTCTTCACTCTGAAACATCCACACATCATAAAGTAAAAGCAATACTCTCCTAATGCTTTCTTTGGGGTTTTAATGGCAGTACAGAAATCCAGCAAGATGGTAAACTGCTGAAAAGAGGATTACCCAGTGTGGCTGGTCAATCATACATACACTTCTTGGCCAGCATATAAGTATAAGAGCCCCCCAAGTCTCCATTTCTAAAGTAAATTCTCTTAAATTGAATAAGGCAGGCAGCTTGTTCTGTGTGCACTGGAATAAATACACTTTAGATGCTTTATCAATGGATTGAATGCTGTAAAGTCTACAACAGATTCTACCAACACCAAAGGGATGGTTGTTGTTCAACAGCAATGCCGCACAGCCTCCAGATGAGCACCGGCAGCCACAACTTTGCCAAGGTTGATTTTACAGCCCCCTTTGCAATGCTCTGAAAATCTGGACTTGGTCTCTACTGAAATAAATCTTGTGGACGAGGCCTGCGTCTGGAAGTTCAATATCAACTATCTCACCAGGCTTCTTGTTCAAAAAGCAAGCCTCGGTCCTCTTCTCCTGCGGGACACGAGGCCGAGAACAATGCCAGTTAACATTCAGCCACTTGCCTGGAGCAAGAGAAGATGGGACACACTTGCAGAACTCCCCTTTCACGTGGAAGCGAGAAGATCTCACCTTTGCAGCCCTATTATCAGCGCCACCTGAGTCAATCTCCTCTTTCATTTAGCCAGATTAGATCCTGAACACCACCCTCCTCTGGAACAAGGGGAAACATCCTGGCTTCCTCTTCGCCATCAGTCTCTGTTTGGACTTACCTGGCAGCGCAGAGCGTCTTGGGGAGAGGTACGGCGGCGTCGGCCCCTCTCCCTGATTTCCCAGCACTTGCTTTATGCATTCCAGTGACTCAGAGCTGACGCACCAGTGGCTGTGCTCGCTTGCTCCTGGCCCCTTCGCCCCCCCCTCCCCACAAACTAAACCCCGAGTGTCTGTTACTGGATGTGAGAAATGTGTTGTTTTACATCTCCCCAGATGCCAGCCGGGCCAGCCCCACTCCCTCTGTAGCCTCATCCCCGCCCCCCAACAACACCCCCACCCTCATTCTTTGAGCGGAGGTGGGCAGGTCCATTCAACAGCTAGTAGTTGCTTCCTGGCTGGCTGGCTGGCTAGCTGACCGGCTTGGGTGAGGAGAAAGAAGCAGCGTCGTTGCCTTCTGCAGCCCCGAGAGGAAGAGGTGGGCAGCAGAGGGAAGATGAAAACTTGGTGGGGAAGGTCTGCTGATAGGTTTTCCTCCACCAAAGAAACCAAATATCTTCTTTCAGCTTTCCCCGCAGCTGCTGTTCATAAAGGAACAAATTGCATTATGGTGGAGGGTTTGTGTGAACTCTGCTAATAGTTGTGTAGTCAACAAACCGTGGCTAAGCAGACCATTTTTATTTCTTTATTTCTGTACTTTTCTCCTGCCTGTATTATTTTTGTAAATAACGCAAGGCGGTGAACATATTTCATACTCCTTCCTCCTCCTATTTTCTCCCCAACAACAACCCTGTGCAGGTGGATTGGGCTGAAAGAGAGTGACTAGCTAGCCCAGGGCTCTTTTATGACTCGTGGACTTCAACTCCCAGAATTCCTGAGCCAGCATGGCTCAGCTTGGAAACTCTCCCTTTCCCTTCAGCATGGCTGGCTCAGGAATTCTGGGAGTTGAAGTCCACGAGTCATAAAAGAGCCAAGGTTGTCTACCCCTCTTCTAGTGGTTAAGACACCCAACTGGCTTTCATGCTTAAGGCAGCACTGGAACTCACAGTCTCCTGGTTTCTGATCTGGTGCCTTCACTACTAGACCAAACTGGTAAGTGAATTGTGGGATCAATGTAGGAATGCAGTTTGCAAATGCAAGCAACAAGCTTTATAGTATATGTGAGCAAGTGCAATGAGCCCCCATCACTTTATAATGAAAGGGAGAAAAAAAAAGGAAGATGAAGATGTCAGAAGGTGGTTAAAAAGATACTAGGCCCTTACTCATATATAGATATATATATGCTTTCAAAATTGCTCCTTTCTATGCAGCTTCAATATATTTGAAAGGAATAATTTTGAGTAGAATTGTTTGTGGCATGCTGTTACTTGGCTCAATTAGTCTTAAGTTACCTCACTTCCATATAAAACAACTGCAACATAGGTCTACAAAAAAAATTTGGGCTACCGCTACAATTCTTTGAATAATGTTTAATTTCTCCTTGCCAATATCATCCAGAGTGGGCCTTATCAGTTCCCTCCCCTTTTTAGCTGCTTTTTATAAAGGGAAGTAATTTGGGGGCTTGGCTATTTTTTGTGCCGTATTCTGTGTGTAGAGATCTAAAACTGAAGGAGGAAAGATAAAGGGGAGGGGTGGCTGTTAATGGGGAAAAACAGCAGGCAGCCATGTTCAACGGGAAACCTGCAGTTGAGGGGCAGAATTTATAAGCTTACTGAATAACCTTTAGCAGCTACGGGAATGCTGACTTTGAGAACAGATGCTAACATCTTCTTATCTTTGTCCATGTCAGTCAGTATCAAGGAAGCTTTGAGACATACCAGCTTGCCCACACGTGTAAGGAAGATAGCTTAATGGAGCTGTCTGGAGACATTTGAGTCTGTCCCCTTGTTGTAAACAGACCAGCTTGTACTTTTGGAACAACCTTTCAAAGTTACAAGAACAAGTGAATATTGCCCAATACTGCTCAACTATTTCACCAGCTCTACAAACTTAATAGCTCCGGTTAGTTCTTCCCTCAGCCATTGTCCAAGGATGACAAAGTCCAAAATTGAAGTAAGTAATTCTGAGAAACTTCAAGTTATAAGCATGCCGTATTTTTCCGTGTATAAGACGCACCCTTGTATAAAACGCTCTAGCATGCGAGTTCCAAGCTTACAGCAAACAAAGTCAGCACTGGGAGCAACCGCCTCCCAGCGCTCTAAATAGATGCCTCCCAGCCGGCCCCACCCCCACCCACCTAACCAGCATCCGGCACGATGAGCATGCATAGTCAGTTCACAGCAACAGCCTTCCGACCCTGCTAAACAAACCGGCGTGAACACCGGCATGACAGCAAGGCAAGGGAAGCGAAGGCAGGTTTTAAACTCCCCGCCATTTCTCCACGCCGATCAGCTGTTCAGCGGAGCGCCGAACAGCTGAGCCAGCAAATCCGGAAGTTCGGCCAGCCGCTATGACGAGCAGTACGGCCTGGCAGCTGCGTTCCACAGGGTCCCCGGCCAGAATACAGGTACGAGGGAGGGAAAGGGCTGTCGCTGCCATCCATGCTGCTGGTCCCATCCGCTGCCTCCGGACGCCGCCATCCGACGATCTTGCCCCCTCCCCCCTCCCGTTAGTGGCAAGCCCACAGGGGCTTGACACCTGCACTAGGCGGCATGGCAGCGGCATGTAAAGAACCTACATAGGCATGCCCTGGGCTGTGGAGGTTACCATTAGTTTTTCATGTATAAGATGCACTTGTATAAGACGCACCTGAATTTTGAACAGGGTGTTTGCAGGAAAAAATAGCATCTTATACACGGAAAAATATGGTATGTGGACAAGACACCTGTTCACCTGGTCCTACATGAACGTTTAATCCTGGTCCAAGATTTATCTGAGATTTAGCAGTGCAATTATCCATTGAACCCATGGGTCCATAGACACTGAAAATAAAGAAGATGTTATATTTGGTGTTTTAGTTTTCAGCATACCACTGTTGCATTTATTTATTTTTAATAAACAAAAGTGAGATGGGGCAGGAAACGTGGTAGGCAACAATGGAATTGATAATTGACAGCCCTTGATGCCATAATTGACAGCCCTTGGTGGGAATATAAGTTTGTGTGTAATGCAAATTGGCATGCAAGTGTTAATGTCCAGACTCTAATAAGAATCAGCCATAATAGCTTATGATAACTATATTAATTCCCAACTTTAAAAATGTCAGGGAATTGAGCAGCCAGCGTGCAAACGGAGTAAGAGACACTGACTCAAACTTATAGTTTCATATAAATAAATATATTTTATAACTATACAGTATATACAGCAACCTAGATAGGCAAACAGGAGCATCATCATTTAAATCAGCAGAGCAGGAGCATCATGAA